ACGCGTGCACCTGTCGTGGACCGACGAACATGATGCGCATGTTGTTATGCATCCTACGAGAAATTGCTATTGGGGTGAATCAAGTCTGTATCTGTAGTCGACCTGGCCAGCGCCCTGCGTCGGCAGCGTGCGCATACCGCTCACTGGCGCGGGGGTGGGACCCGGGCGGGAGGGAGGAGGCGGAGGAGAAGGAGGCCTTATTCTCCATCTCCTCCTCCTCCTCCTCCTCCTCCTCCTCCTCCAGGGGAACGCACGTGCCTCGGGCCAAGAGTTGCATATCCCTCCGCTCCCTGTTGGAGGACGCCAGGTCTGTACAGAGTAAACCCCGCACGGAGTGTTCTCGGGCCCCGCCCTGGCTTACGCCGAAAGTCCGCGCGGAGTGTTCGGTCTCATCCTTGACGTTTCATCTGGGCAGAGACTGGCCGTCCCGGGAGTCTTATAGGCCTACAACGACATCCTTTTAGAACCCAGCAAATTTCTATCAAACAAAGCAAAGTTCTTATACCATAAACCTGATGCTCAGAACAGCATCAGCCAGACATGTTCTTAATGTTCAGACCTCAGCAGGTTCTGATAAACATTCGGTGGTTTCACCAGCGAGCCAGGACGCTTCGCCACTGCTCGATTCATGCTGCTTACATCGCAGAGCGGGTTTCGTTTGGAAAATAATGGGACGGGCCCGGACTGTCCTGGAGAATGTCATTCTGGATTTCGAGATGAATCTCTGCGGATGTTTGTCGTTGTCGGGAATGAAGACTACAACACATCCACGTGGAATTCACTTCGTTTTTCGCTCGCCGGTCCGGGTCTTTGAATTGGCAGGCCTCCATTCAACAATCCGTTGCAGCCCGTCTGCACGGTCGGTGTAGCCCAGCGCGGATCCAAGAAATCCGCGCGGAGTGCCACCAGTTATGTTTTATATGTGTTTCTCTTAGAACAGGAAGAATACATTCACCATCAATCGCCCACTGATCGCCGATAGGGGCCGTGTAGCCCCAATCCGCCCAGGAAGTTCTTGATGCGCTATCCAGGGGCCTATCACCAATCTTTCGGCGATGTATCGCCGATTCCAGGTCGATGCATCCCCCCCCCCCATGCCAGTCCCACCCTTATCATTGCCCCTCAAGACCGACAGCATTCCTGTTCATTTCGAACAGGACTCGCTGTCGGTGTCGCCGCGGACGTTCTCCATTTGAGACAGAAGGCTGCCTGTCCAACAGCGGTGCCTGTCGGATTTGGCCAGTACCTGCTGCTGGGCATCGTGTCCATTTTCTCGTACCGATTACGAGCGCCCAAAGAAACCGACGCAAAAGGCGTCACGGGACGAGCCTGTCGTAGCCCTGGCGGGGACCGGCCATATTCCGCTGCGGCCCTCTGCAGATTGTGGAGCCATCCCCCCTCCCCTCCCTCCGCTGACCCGGATCTCGGGAGCTGCGTCGTGCCAGGCCCCGGGTCTGCGACGTGGCTCTGGCGGGCCATGCAGTCAAGACGCTGGAAGGAAGGACCACTCTCGGTGGAGGAGGGTCTTCATGGCCGGCTAGTCCCACCAAACTGTAGAGAGCCTCCACTGCGACCACGCCTATATAATGCTTCCCTCGTCCTCCACGAGGGGAGGAGGGGATGTGGTGGAGACGGAGACGGAGATTGGGCCAGCGTGGTCTGACCCTGCCCCGTCCTCGCTGGGCCATGGTGTCTCAGCCCCACCAGCCCCGCCCCCTCAAATGGGGCCGGGCCCCACGCTGCCTCGAGGGAGCAGCACACATCCCCGCCCGGTTGTGCACGACAGTGGGGGTGGGGATGGGCTGCTCCGGATTTCGCAATATTTCGGGGGTAGTCTGAGTTGGGAGGGGGTCCGATTTTAGCTGTCTTGGAGTTCCAGTGGGGTGTTGGCGAAAGACCGCCCTTCCAAGGCTGGCCTGGGGTGGCCTGCAATTGCCCGTCCGGGAGCATTGTGAATCCCCCCCCGCACACTTTCATTATGTAATTTGGAGTAGACCGTTCTCATTGTATTGGTGGTGCGCCCCCAAGAAAGCATTGTCAAAAAAACACCGTGCGCACCAGCTCCGAGTGTCAAACAAACAGTCAGACGTAAAACGTTACAGGAGAAACATAAACGGTCAGACGTAAAAAGTTACAGTCGAAGGATCCTGATCGGAAACTGGAACGTATACATTGCCAGTGGCGGTCTGTTCTTGAATCCCAGAATTTTATGAGGGGCGGGGACGACGTCGGTTCTCCCGTTTTCTTGGGGAAACAACGAAACATATATACACCAGGGTCCCGTATACATCAGGACTCGCTCTCCAGTGCAAATTTCAGTGCAGGGCCGGAAAAAAGCGGCGGTGTATAGAGTTCGGTTCCTTACCCGAGGATCATTTGATTTGTCGCGCCAGGACCACGCTGTCAAACAAACACGGTTCGCCCCATAGCTCCGAGTGCCTCGGCCTCGCGAAGAGGGGGCTCGCTCTGGGGCCCGCCCCTTCCTGCACCGCAGGCTCCTGTGATGCACCCCTCCCTACAGTTAAGTCGGGCCTGTCCCTCTCAGGGGGAATATTCAAGAATAGTTAAAGAATAGTCTGAAGACTATTTTTTGACATTTGTTTTTTGTTGTTGTTTGGGTATGTTTGCGGGTATTTTTTTATTGTTTGTCCAGAATCCCCCTGTAGGGGGACAGGCCCGACCTGACCCTACAGCGGGACCGAGGTAAAAGATCGAGGCCGGTGCTAACCCTACAGCTGGACCGAGGTAACCCTACAGCCGGACCTAGGTAAAAGGTACGCTGATGTTTTTCGTGCTCGTAATGGGCTTCTTGCGCATCCTGGGGAGGGTAGTCTCGACTGTTCTGTGTCTGTGTGTGCGTGTGTTTTGGGCGGCGGAGGGTCTCGTGTTCTTGGAAGACGTTCTTCTACCCTAGGTCCTGCCGCATTCGCCCCTCCCCTCTTTCCCATTCTTCCTTCGGCACGAAACTGATTCACATCGACGGCTTCATGTAGCAGAAGCTCACACATACCATCTGCATCATCGGCTTCACGACAGTACGCCTCGGTATCTTTCTGTCGTTCTCGTGGATTCCACCGTCGTTTTGGAGGGTTCCCCTCGCTAAGTGCCCTGCGCGCTCGCGCCGAGCGGCCCCAGCTTTCACCCCGCTCTCCCCTCTGACGTCGTTGCCTCTTGCGCGACACGGCCGGAGCCCGAGAATGGTTCAGCTCGTCTCGAGCCCGAGCGTGTGTGGCAGGATCCACTCGGAGCCCTCGCTGCCCCTGGGTTTGAGGCAGCTTTGGTTTGAACTCCTGTAAGTTTACTGGCACGCAGGGGGGACGAGGGGAGGTGGGAGGGCGTGGCGACGCCCGAATTGAAACCTAGGCTTTGCGCAGGTCGGGACTCACTTGCACGCCTTTTCGGCCCCGCGCTGTTTGAAAAGGCGGCAGCGTGGGGAGGGGCAAATGCCATGCAAGTAACCTGGGGGTGGTTTCCCGTCCCGGATCAATTTGTTGGTGGTCCCGGGGCCCAGTAACGGCCCTAACATCGAGGAGAACCGCTCGTTTTTTTTTAGGGGGGGGCCCTCGGGGCAGCTGCGCCGGGAAGCCCCGGCGGCACCTCGCAGGGCCCCCTCAGCTCTCGAGAGGCCTGCGGCGGGTACGAGGTGCTTGCGCTGCTGGCGTACCGCTGCGACCTCAGATCCGTCCAACACCATTCCCGTGGACCCGCCCCGAGGTCGGGAGCCTTGAGACGGGGGTCAGTGCAAACGGGGGTTGGCTAGAGCGCTGGGTCTTGCAGGATCCTCCGGAGCCAGGGGTGCATTGACCCGGATTTAGGTGCAGGATCCTGCAGGATCCTGCAAAGCCTGACTGATCCGGGTTTGGATTGACCCGGGTCAGTAGATCCCCGGCAAGCTCTATTTTTTGGGGGCGATTTATGGCCACTGCCCTTGCGCGCGTAATGCTGGCCCTGGAAATATAAAAAGACTGATCCCACGGCGAAACGATATATGTGTATCTTGCCTCCCCCATCGGTATTGTGACCCCCAGCCAGCGTTTCAGTTTTGCTGTTTGCTATGATTCGGGTAACGTTGAGAGACGCAGCTCTGGCGATCTTGGGCCTCCCAGGCATGCATTGCGATTGTCTCCGAAGTTGTTTCTTGGCAGTCATCGGAATCGCCTTACCTGGTGCACAAGCCACGTCCCCAGGGGGCGCCATTTTCTACACGGCCCCCGCGCCACGGGCATGCGCCGGGCCAGCATGTTTGCCGGGGTGGCGTGCACAGATCGCGCCCCCAACCCCGGCGAGCTTTCCGAGCGGCGCCCAGCCGTGGCCAGGGGGGGGCCCACCCGGAGACCCAGATCCGGACCTCCCCTATATGGGGTCCGAGTTATTTTGATGGGGGCGCAGGCTCGCTCCGGATCGCCGCTGCCTCGGCGGTGCTGCGAGGCCCGAGTTCCTCGCCGACGGCGGCGGTGCATCGCCGACGCGTCGCCGAGGCATCGCCGATGCATCGAGAGGCGCATCGGCGATGCGGCGCGTTCCTGGGACTCCGTCTACCAGTTGCCGGGCTGCACGATTCCGCCACCGCTCCGACGCGGGCGGCGGGGGGGGAAGCCCCTTTTTTTTGGGGGGGGAGGGGGCAGGATCCATGGAGCCTCCCCTCCCGAAGCCAAGCTGTGTGTTTGGCATTTTTTTGTTCGGAAGTCCAAAGAACGCAGGGACTCGACTACAGCAGCGAGGGCATCTTGGGCTCGATGCATGGGGGGGGGGGGGGCATATCATTGCTCCGCAAAGTGCGAAAGGGCCACACTCACACCAACGTTTTTTTCTCTGAATCTGGAGCATGCACATTACCAGCAGCGGGCAGTTGTTTCAATCCCAAGACTTTGAGGGTCGGGGACGACGTCGGGGTGGTGTGGAGTATACCTTTTTTCCCGCTTTCCCGGGGAAGCAACGAAGCATGTCTACCACAGGATCCCGTATACTCTCGGATCCGCCTTCCTGTGCGAATCTCGGTGCGGTGCCGGAATAAAAAGCGTCGGTGTATAGAGCTCGGCTCCCTCATTCTTGGGAGGCCACTCGATGGAGGGGGGCACGGGGCCAAGGGAGGAGGAGGAGGAGGAGGAGGAGGAGGAGGAGGAGCAGGAGGAGGAGGAGGAGGAGGAGGAGGAGGACGAGGAGGAGGAGGGAAGAAGAGGGGGAGGAGGAGGAGGAGGAGTAGGAGGAGGAGGAGGAGGAGGAGGAGGAGGAGGGAGGACGAGGAGGACGAGGAGGAAGAGGAGGAGGAGGAGGAGGAGCAGCAGGATGATGATGATGAGGAGGAGGAGGAGGAGGAGAAGAAGAATATGGAGGAGGAGGAGGATGGAGGGAGAGCATCCGAACTCTTGAGGTACGGGGCCGGCTCCCCGGGCTGCAGCGCTCACGCCAGCGTCTTGGGGCGGTACGGCGAGCTCGGCGGCGCCGCGGAACGGGTGCGGGAGGAGCTCGGCGGGCTCAGGGCGCACGTCGGCGCCGCCTACGGGCCCGCGATGACTGCGAGGCTGGCCAAGCAGACCAAGACCCAGGATTGGGACCCAGACTTATGATGTTCAGGATTGGGACCGCCAGAAGGAGTTTCGAGCACCAGGCCAGCACCAGAACTCGAGGGTACCGACACTGTTCTGACACTCTTTCGACACTTTTCCGGGCGCTCGAAATCATGTCTGGGATGTGGTCTTTAAGTACGATGGGAGCAGCATCGACCCAGACCTCCCCTGAGATCCAGGCGCAGAGCATTCTTGGTCACAGCGCGCGGTTCTGCCCTGTTGCGGGCCCCAGGGCCATGACAGATCGGTCTGACTCGAAAGGTGCTGCAGAGAGATGTGTCCTGGGGTTCGGGCAGTGCTTTCTCGCGATGCTGCATTTTGCTCGCGGCGTCGGATGTCGGGGTCTGGCGGACTGTTGTTGTGCCAGGCGTGGCGCCTTTCCGAAGTTCGGGCTCCAGGGGCCGTCTTGTGGCCCCGGGGGCCCATCACCCATCGACTATTGATCCAGAACTCCGAAGCAGTCGCACCCCGCGGGGCAGCCGGGAGCTCTGGGCTCGCGGGCAGGGCAAGATTCGTATCTTCGGATGTCGGGTAGAAAGCCGCTGTGCTGCCACAGCTTTTGCTTCGCCGCCCTGGACCAGGGGGGGTCCCTCGCTGCCTCGGCGGGAGTCGCCAGGGCATCCTGGCCAGCATGCGCCCCGGGGAGAGGTCAGGAGAGCAGCGGGATTTCCGGGGTTCCCCCAGGATGCCAGGGGGGAGTTCCAGGTGACGGCTGGCCTCAAGGGCATCGTGCCCAGCGGCAGCGTCTTCCAGTGGCAGGCCGTCGAGGCAGGGGGCGACCACAAGAGAGCGGCGGCAGCATTCTTCAAGAAGTGGACCGGCGTCAGCAGCATCCCCATTCAGTGGATGGAGGAGGCCGCCTTCTGTGATGGGCTTGACGTATGGGTAGGCGCGTGACGCATCGTCATCGCTCTCTTCTTGCCCATGACGCGTCCGGTGACTACGAGAGGAACCTCTCGTAGCGCCTGCGCTGGGGTGACGCGCAAAAGTAACTATAACATCGCACATCGAGTACCCGGCCCTTCGCCGACATGAAGCGATCGTTACGTCGGGGCGTGGGGTGTACACCTTAGGCGATGCTTGAGAAAACTTCAGTTTTCGGGCAGAGTCTCGATTATTCTTACTGTTTCAATGTAAATCTTAAGATTTTAATGGACATGTTGGGTTTTTTATTCAAATTCTGAGACTATGAATTTCTTAACCCATGATTTCTTAAGCATTTCGCAGGGTGCAGCATGCGAGAGTCATGCCGACCTCCGGCTGTCTACTGCACGCCGCTGCAGTGTCTCTCTCCGCCCTCTCTTCCGGATCGCTGTCCTCGTGCTCCACCTCCTCGTCCTCGGGCTCCCTCGCTGCCTCTTGGGTTCCGCAGCCCGCCCGCGACCCTCAATCCTCCTCCTCCTCCTCCTCCAACTCCTCCTCCTCCTCCTCCTCCTCCTCCTCCTCCTCCTCCTCCTCCTCCTCCTCCTCTCATCCTTCCTCCTCCTTCTCCTCTCCTCTCCTCCTCCTCCTCCTCCTCCTCTCATCCTCCTCCTCCTCCTCCTCCTCCTCCTCCTCCTCCAACTCCTCCTCCTTCTCCTCCTCCTCTCCTCCTCCTCCTCCTCCCTGTCCCTTCCCCTCCTCCCCCCTCTCTGGGGGCCCGCGTTGGGCTAAGGCCACGCGAAGGAGGTGGAGAACTGCACGGCCGTGGAGGGTGCCCTGGCCGCGGCCGCCCAGCGCGCACAATCGCGCCGTCTCGCGCAAGGGGGGTGGGGGCGTCTTGCGCCTGCGAGGGTGCGCCTGCCCCAGGGCGGCCCCCTTGGGGATGTGGGTGGAGAGGAGGAGGGGGGGTGCAGAAGGGGGAGGGGGAGGAGCAGGAGGAGCAGGAGGAGGAGCAGGAGGAGGAGGAGGAGGAGGGAACACGGACGAGGAGGAGGATGAGGAGGAGGATTAGGATGATGATGAATATGATGACAATGATGGTGATGGTGATGATGTGATGATGACGATTACGATGATGACGCTGTTGATCATGACGGTGATGTTGATGGTGATGAGGATATAATGACGATGACGACGGTTATGATGATGAGTTTGATGATGATTATGATGTTGATGGTGATGATGGTGATGCTGACGATCAGCATGAGAAGGATGGTAATTTCGATGACGAGAATGATGTTGATGATGACGATGATGGTGGTGATGGTGATGGTTATGACCATGCTGCTGATAATAATGAAGCTGGTAAAGATGATGCACCGCGAACCAACGTAATTGCTGCACCGCCGTAATCCTGAATCCTTCCAGGACACCAGTTTAGGTTCGTTGACCATGAAGATCCGTAAAACTCCCCCAAGTTTTTCAAACGAATGTGCGCGGTCTGAGGCGAGAGCCACATTCTCAAAAGGAGCCGCCCTCACCTGTCAAACATGTGCAAATGGTTCAAACGAATGTGCGCGGCGCCAAGACGAGAGCCACATTCTGAAATCCACCCGCCCTCAATATGTGAAGTCCTTGCACATGGTTCAAACGAATGTGCGCGGCGCTCAGGCGAGAGCCAGTCCCCCATTTGCGTAGCTGTTAACACTTGTTACACCTTTAGGGTCATACATGGTGTGGAAGTCTCAGGCGAAACGCCCGGACCGCCCCAAACATCGGCCTCGGGGTGCGACACGTAGAAGTAATGTGTAAGGAACAGTAGTGGAGGAGTAGGAGGACGAGCAGGAGGAGGAGGGGGAGGAGCAGGAGGAGGAGGAGGAGGAGGAGGAGGAGGAGGAGGAAGACGAGGAGGACGAGAAGGGTCCCCCCCCCGCCCCCCCACAGAAGAGGGGCGGAGGCCAGGCGCCGTGCCGAAGAGCTTCTGCGCGTGGGCGCCGTGGTCGGCGGAGAGCCCCTGCGACGCCGTGTGCGGGGCCGCCACGAGGAGCGCTCCCGCCGCCCCATCCGGCGGCGCGCGGGGGGGCCATTCGCAGGCGACGGGTCTCCCCCAGCCTCGGACTTCACGAAGACAGAGGAGGCCGCTCAGAAAACGAGGGGCGGCCCGGGATGTAGCCCAAGGGGGAGCTCTTCGGAGGCACCCCCCATCGAGGGTGGACGCCCCCCATCATATATGCCGGGGTTGGTCCCCAAGTGTTTGGTCCATTCGAAAAACCCACGACGCTTGATGATATGGTTCGGCATGTCCCTTGTTAGCCATCATTCCGAAGAGAAACCACGTCGTACCAACTGGAAGAACAACCTTGTGAAGCAATCGTCGCCCCCCCTCCCCTTTGGCGAAATTCTATCACGCCCGCCCCTGGAAGTGCTACCCCAGGGCCCATACCCCTGGAATTATATCGCCGTAGCGCCGGGCGCAAACGTTTTAAAAGTGTGCAGGAGCTTCACGGATGGAGGGTGGGTCCTGTTCAACATTTGCATCTCGCCTTAGCGCCACGGTAATCCTACCGGATTTTCGAAAATCCAGCAGAAATCCCATTGCAATCCCCTAGAATCCTTTCGGAATTGTTGCGCTATGACAGAATCTCTCTGGAGTTCTCTCTTCCCCCTCGCCCCGTTCCGCTCTCGGAGCCGCTCCAGCCTTCACTTCTGAAGAATAGTAATGGTTGGTACCACTCACCGGCGCATACTGCTTTTTCAATCAAAGTGTGCCCCTCGACGCTCGTACCGTGTTTTTTTGACAGGGAGAGTCTTCATGCTCAAACTCCGCCCCTGGCCCCCAGGTTACAACAACAACGGTTCCCACCTGAGAGGTCCTCATGATTTAGCCAGGACCCCGGCTCCCGCCCGAGACTTCCTCGCATTTTATTCAGGATCGCGCTCTCGCTGGGGATTTCCTTACAATTTACTCAGGAATCGTTCTCTCAACGCTCTGGAGTCGCGCTCTCGCTGGAGACTTGCTTGCAACTCATGAAGAATAGCGCCCTTGCGTGGGAATGTCCTTCAATTTGCTCAAGCGCCGCGCTCCCGACACCCAGGCACCCAGGAGTCGCGCCCGTTGTGGCCCCACGTGCATGCCCTTCGTGGCCCCGGTGTCAACGCTTGTGGCCCCCTGATTGTCCTACGTGGCCCAGTTGTTACGTCCAGTGGCCCCATCGTTGCCTTCTGTGGCCCCGCATTATCTGCCCTTCGTGGCCCCCGCTCGTTCGCGCTCTTCGTGGCCCCATACGCATTCCCTTCGTGTCCCCGCTGTCGCCCTTCGTGGCCTACTTCGTGTCCTTCGTGGCCCTGCTGTCGTTCTCTCTCGCTCTCGCTTTCGCTCGTCGTCGCCGTCGTCGTCGTCGCCGTCGTCGTCGACGTCATCGTCGCCGTCGTCGTCGACGTCGTCGTTGTCGTCGTCGTCGTCGTGGTCGGTCCCCTGTCCGTCCCTGTTGGGGTCGTGTCGACGGTCCGCGGCCGCCCCGCCGATCAGCGTTGCCGCTGGCCAGGCCGACGGTCCGCGCCCCGCCGCTTGCGGGGGCCCGGCCTGCAGGGAAGAAAGGTATACCCCCGACAAGGGGTTCGATCGAAGACGAAGAGGGTAGGTATGGAGGGTTGAGGAAATACGCGCTATTGGACAGTCGAGCAGGTTTGAATTTTGGGAGGATTCGCAGACGAAGATTGCGGCATTCGCATTCAGGAACCCGCTGGAGTGCTTTGATCCGGGACACTCGAGCTATTGGACACTCGAGCAGGTTTAGGAAAACCGCGCGGCAGGGAAGGGGTCCAGCGCCGGTCCAAGAGTTCCGCGTGGAGACCTGACAATCGATGTTCATGCAGTTTTGCCCCTTCGACCACTGACGCGGAATCCGTGCGACAGGTTCGTGTCGTGTAGACCCCAGCGTTGCTTCCTGATACCGCGGGGATCGTTCGGCCTTGACGTCCCCGCAACGCCCGATCGTTCAACATCGATCGATTCCGGGTCGCTGGCGGCGTTCAACATTGAACGCTGGCGGCTAGGTCGCCGCAGGTCGACACGACACACGTCGAATTCGATATGCCTTCATTTGTTTGATACGGCCTCCGCGCAAGCCCCAGCTCTCTCCCTATGCTGGGCTGTTCGCCCCGAGTTGTTTTTCCACAGTCCAGCGGCCCGGCGTCGTGATTTGCTTGCAGTGTGGACACCCGGACCCATTCGAGGAATTTGCTCTTTTCATCCCGAGTGGTTTTGACAGGCCTTTGGCCCAGCGAGCACCCCTGGAGGCAGGAAGTTGCCAAAGACATGCCGTCTTGCTATTTTTCTCACGTCGCGAGCATGTCTGGGTGAAGGACCAAATATCCACGTTCCCATTGCAGCGCGTGATTGTAGATTCTATGAATGAGTTGCTGCGGGTATGCATGCATGCACATCTGTATCATTATGCGGATGTGTTGCAATGAGTGGCCACCGAAGCTCGAATTTGGGAGTCGCCAGAGACACAACAATTTGCACAGTCACAGTTTCATCGCCTTGGCACTTGCTGCACTGGGATACGCCTGCCCACTACATCCCGCCCGCAGCTTCGGTGTGGTGCGCGGCAGAGTAAGGCATCGATTCGGGTGTTCCTAGAAGTACCCCGGGCCCAAGGTGCCCCCAGGATTTTCAAGGTGGCCCCCACGGCCGCCAGAGCACCATGGGCTCCAGCATGGAGCGAAAAGCTGGGCGCACCTTCCTTTAGCAACCCCCGATCGACCAGCCCAGATCTGAGCTACGATGTGTTGTTTTTAGGCGCCGGCGTTCCTCCTGGATCTCGGTCTCTTGGGGCCGTCTTTGCGCCCTGGTGCCAACACGCACGCACGCACACACAGACACACACACAAACAAACACACACACACGCACATGAATCAAGGATGGCACATTTGCTCCATCGACGGGGGCTGGACCTCTGGGACCGCGCATTGGAAACATCACATCGTCGTAGATCTACGTGTCGGGCGGTGGGGAACGGCAGGCGATCTCACTCCGCCTCTCGCTCTTCGGTGGGCGTCTTTCCCGGTCGGGGCCGTGTCTCGGACAAGATCTTGCACCTCTCGCGCGGCCAGGATGTCCGCGCAGATTCGCAAGCTACCGCCATGCCCTCGTATCCCATGTCGGTTGGCTTTGGCCGCGAGTTGCTACATTTCGGCCGGTCGAGTGGTCAGCAAGTCGCGCCGCAAACCGTCAAAGGTCAGATTGCGGTCGCGGAGCGGCGACAGCAAATACCGGAACAAGCTTGCGCAGGCTTTTGCCCATGAGCGCGCGGTTTCTAATGGGGGCCCCTGCGCTTCAGACTTCGGGGCTCAGAGGTAACGCGCTTCGCCGCTGAACGGCTGCGGCCACAAAAAATGTTCAGCGTGGAGCGATGCTCGACGTGGTCGCGCAAACGAAGGACCCAGTCTTGCGTTGTCCGGATTTGTTTCTACACGGGGTTTCCAGAAGCCAAGCATTTCCTGTGGGTGGAGGGCAGAGGGTGAAATCCGAAATGCCGTTTCGATGGATGTTCGAGGTCTGAATCTGCAGAAAGTGAATCACAAGACGGACTGATCTTCGAGGTGCAAGAGCCCATGTGGATTTCACCCTGAGCCCTCCACCCCTAAGAGAATACTCCGAGAAGCCCCGCCGCTCTTCTCCCCCGGGACTTGTCTTCCATCTCCAGCTCCCGTGCGACGGCCCCAGGGCCGAGTGGAAAGGGCCCCCGTGGGTCCCGAACTGTTGGAAGACACTCCCGTCGAACGAAGCCTTCGCGGCGCCAGGGGGTCTGGGCCCCTCGGCGTGCGAGGCGGACTGCAGGCTCTGCCCCCCTCCCCCCAGGCGATCGCAAACCTGGATTTTAAGGGGGCGTGGACCAGCGACGGGTCCCGCTTCCATAGGAAATCCCACTATCAGGCGATCGCGAACATGGATTTTAAGGGGGCGTGGGCCAGCGACGGGTCCCGCTTCCATGGGAGATCGCGGAGTTCCGCCGCCGAGTTGGGCGGCACAGGCCGCACTCTGGGGAGGGCACCTCCCCCGATGCATGGGTCAGGCGACGGCGCGCCGAATCCATGGATCGCTAATCCATGTTTGCGCGCCCCCGCCCCCCCCCCCACCCCCAGCCGGAGAGGACGCGCCAGCGGCAGCTGCGGGCCACCTCCACGGAGCCCGAGGACACAGAGCTCCTCTTCGCCGGCGACCCGGACAGCGCGGGGCCCAGGCAGCGGCGGGAGAGGCCGCTGCGGCTGCGCGGGAGCTCGGCCGAGGAAGCGCAGGCCATCGATCGGGGCGCGCGTATATTCGCGGCGGGTTCCGCTTCCGTCCCGAATCGGCGCGCTCCGTCGCCGCATGAGGCGGCCCTGCATGTGGCGCTACGGCCCATCGGGCGCCGTAGCGTATACCACGCAAACGTCCTTCCCAGATCGCTTTGTATTCGCTAAGCCCCGTAGGGCCGTAGGTGGGGTGGTGTCGCTTGTTTTCTGGTCCACCCTCTTCGCTCTCACGCACATCTCTGCGACTGCACGCCGCACGGGGCCAAAGCTCAGGGCCCGTTTGCCCCTGACGTGCGCTGCCCGGATGGAGGCGAGAAATGGCGGGCGATTTCTCGCCTCCAGTGCCCGAGTCCCCCAATTGGTCGTTTTGACGAGAGAGGAGGGTCGGGGATACTTTCCCAAGGGGAGCTGTTCGGACCCGCCTCCGTCCAGGAGGAACGCCCACCTTGGCGCACATCCCCGGGCTGCCCATCGAAGCCCCCACCGGGTCGGGCAGATGGGGACCGCCAGACTGTCTTCTGTCGAACATCCTCCCCGGGGTCGCCTTGGCGTCCTGAGCTGATGTCTGAACGCCATCATCCCGAGTCCCAAAACCGACTCACCGCCCAGGAGTGGTCACCGCCCAGGAGGAGGAGGAGGAGGAGGAGGAGGAGAAGGAGGAGGAGGGGGAGAAGGAGGAGGAGTGGGAGGAGGAGGAGGAGGAGGAGGAGGAGTAGGAGGAGGAGGAGGAAAAGGAGGAGGAGGAGGAGGAAAAGGAGGAGGATGCATCGGGAGGTGCCTCGGGAGCTGAGGTCCCTGCTCGGGCGCGCAGATTATGGTGACGGCCTGCGACCTCCCGAGCTGCAACCCCGGGTGTAAGCCGGTGGGCGGCACGCGCGACGCGTCGCGGTACCAGTCGTCGTCGTTGTCGTCGTCGTCGTCGTCGTCGTCGTCGTCGTCTTCGTTGTCGGATGTCTTCGGACGTTCTTAGCAGACCCCCCACGCTTCGTGAACACACTCAGGACGGGGACTTTTAGAAGCATGTCCTGCCGCTGGGGGGCCCTCACCCGGGCTTGGGGTCGTCTGAAGACGACTCGGGGCGAAAAGCCCGCCCCTGGGAAAGTTGCCGAGACTCCCTGGGTCGGCGTGGGTGCAGCATTAAGTCGGGCCTGTCCCTCCTACAGGGGGAGTATTCAAAAATAATCAAAGAATAGTCGGAGGACGATGTTTGATTATTTCTCGGCATGTTTCGGGCATCTCTGGGGGATTTTTATTCCGCGTCCAGAACCCGCCTGTAGGGGGTCATGCCCGACCTGAGTGCAGCACTCCTCTTTGAATGATGGTGGGGGTAGCTTGGTCGCCGGCGCGCCTGGGGGGGCAGGTGACCCGTCAAAGTACGCAATAGGGCGAAGGCCTCCTCCGCAGGTGGCGGGGCTTCTCAGAAGCTGCCCGGCCTGCGGAGGAGATTTTGGGCGTCTTCGGGGGAGTCTCGGAGAGCTTCTCGGAAGGCGGGGCGCCTTCCGAGCCTTCTTGAGAAGGCCCGGCCCTTCTGGCTCCCCCATCGGAGGGGCGCTAACACTGCACACCACCAGCAGCCACGGCCAGGTCCATCCGGAGCCCTGGACTGATGAACAGGCTTGAACACCAGTACAGGGCCCAGTATGAGCCTGGCCAGTGTTGGTGGTGGTGTATTGTTTGTAGCTGTCCTGTTCCACCCCCGGGCGACGCGCTTGCCGAGAAATCGTACGGTATAAGCTCTGTGCTGGACGCTTTCTGGCCATATCTTCCGGGAAGCGACATACTACAAGATGGTCATGCAATATGTTCGGGTCGGACGCACGCCTCCAAGGAGGACATATGGAGCGTTCCCAAAAAGGCCTTGCCTTCGAGGATCGCAGGAGTTGCCATCTCCGCGGCGGAAGGCGGCAGAAGAGCGGCGGAAGTAAAACGAGGCCGCCTCCGTCGGCTTCCGCCGGCGAAAGCCGGCGGACGGGTGGCGGAGAGTGGCGGCAGTAAAACATGCGCCCCCTAAGAGATGAAAACGTTTTGGGGTTCAGGGTTTCCGAAATCGCCCACACAGTGCTTGTCTGTTCTTGTGCGTCCCATCTGGCTTTCCCCTGGGCTCGCCGCCGCCTTGGGTGCGCCCTCTCCCGCCGGGGCAGTCCGCGATCTGCACCATGCACGAAGCCGTCCGATGCACGGGGAATGGACGTCCGAGCGATGGCGGGTCATGCGCTGAGCCATGATGGCACCAAGCTTGCTTTGAGCCACAGCTCGAGTCAAAAACAGCTG